GCAAGATTAAATCATTCGATATTTAGAAATCGAAGCAGACTATGGAAATATCAATATGAATCTCATCATCTCATGTCAATTAGATCCGAAAAGATAAAATAGATATACGTCATGTCTGATCCATTGATGGCAACTGCTAAAGAAACAAAATAACCGTTATTATTTGTTTCATCGAATATCTGCACAAATAAGATCAAATGAAATAATCTTCAATGACTCTCATTTGTGTCTTCAAATTGATTTTTAATTTGATTGAAATCTCAATTGGACATGATTTCGATCAAGATGATTTTTGACAAATTCAATACGACTTCATTCAATGCATCTTTGTTTTACTGTTCAATGTTGACTTTCTCTCTGAGAAATGAGGCATACTTAACAAACAAAAAATTCGTACTTCATTCGACGATGGCGAATCATTCTTTTGGAAAGCCAACAAAATCAACTTTGATTTCAGAAAAGAAACGATTCGAAAGAGATTCAATCACTGGTTCGACTATCTTCGAATCAAGCCTTTCTTCATCTTTTTTATTGTGAACAGATCAACAGCGATTGAAAGAGCAATGATCGATTGAATATTTGACAAGTGAGAAAAATTCGCTTGACAAAATTATCTCGAGTAATTCTAGATTTATCAAATTGAAAATATTGAGATAATAACTAATTCTAGATCATGCTTTTATAGCAAATGTTGAACTAATGATTATGATCAACCAGTTGCAGTATTGTTTTGAATAAACAACAGATTTCTTTTTTTCGATTGAATCAATTTTGTTATATGAAAATATCCGTATGTAATCTACCATGCAATGAGTATTAACATAGTAATTCTTGTTGCGGACAAATTTATGTATGTACGTGGGCGAAGACCGAACATCGTACTCAACACAAGCAGTTCGATGATGGCAAAAATATACAAGTAATTAGTAAAAAAAAGTCGAATTTGGCACCCATCAAAGAACACAGAGACGAAATGGTTCGTTGTTGAGCAACAATTATACTAAGAATAAAACTAATACTGAACAGATTTCAGTACTTTTTAGGTTACTTATCGAACCTCTATATCATATATTTGATCATTTTAATGTGCAAACAATTATATTTTCATTAGGTCATGTATGCAGACAATTTTGTGAAATAATCCAACATTATAATCATTATTTTCTCGATTTTGATTGAATTTCCATGGATCGATTGCGATATATTCGTCGTCTCATGAAATCGGAATTAGTCATTGCATTAAGATTGTCCGACGGTGTTAAAACGCCAAAACAAATCGAATATTTTCTCTCACTTTTCAATCTTCGTCGATTTATTCAATTTCATTCATTGATTGTTACTCAAGATACTGAAGATTTGTTTAACATCATATTCGATCATGGAAGCAGTTGCCAGTCTCTTGTCTCACTCTCGATCTATGTTTGACTTACTCTTGAATTCAAATCTAAAGAATCTTATTATGATGATTTGACTGGTCTATCACTCGATCCTCTCGCATCTGCTCTTGCTCAAACAGAGAAAGTGGTGCTTATACTCCCTTTCACAAGGTTTTTATTCTTTTAATTATTTTTTTTTTGATTGGGACTTATGTGAGGATATAAGATCACGAAACTATTCTTTGGACATTTTTAGTATTAGCAAAAAATCAATACTTTAGAAAAAGGATCATTTTCAACAAATATTGACCCTCTATCACGCCAAAATCTATATCTCATCTATAGTCGCATGAATAATTATCAAATTTTTACTGTATATACAATTAAAATTTCTCTATAAAATAAAATTAAAATCATCTTTTTCAATTACTTTAGAAACAACCACGATCTATCATAAAAACTTTTCTTTTTAACATTTATTTTTTAGTGCATTACAAACATTGTTCAACTTATAACTTTGCAATGAATCTGAGTTAAAAAGTCAAATCTTTACCATCAATGCACTTCCATACAATCCATCAAATAAGGGTGTGGGTGTTGATGATTGTCACAGAAGACCCACATCCACCCATATCCACCCTCAAATGATTTCTCTGAACTAATCTATCCAACATTCTTGTTCTTTTTGAACGGAAGTGAACTTGCAACAACGGTTTATCGCAAATGAAATCAATCTTGCAATGATAACAGTATCCCAAGAAAAAGCCCTATTGAAGAATCGTATCAGGAAAAAAAAGAGTATAAGACGAGAAAAATTTACCTTTGCTGCAAAATTATGTAATACAGCACTGAATAACAGGGCTCGAAACGGACCGCCCGGTCCGACATTGTGTTGTTTTTTTTAAACCTTTTACTAAACTATATACTCATTTCAAGTACTAGAAATTATCAAAAATGTTCTATGATAGAAAAAGTATTTAAATTTCAGTTCAGTGACTTGAAAAATAAATAAATATTATTTTTGATAATGAAGCAAACACATGTTTTGATGTATTTCAAAGTTCATTGATGAAAATGGCTATTTTCATTAACTAAAATCTATTATTCTGATTCAAAATCTCAGTCATTGCATTTCTTTTGTTAAAATGTTGCTTTTAGTCGACCAATATGAAGTAAATCAAAATTAGTGTCCGGTTCATCACAAAAAATTCAATGCTTTTCGTGCTTCTGATAAAAAAATCATGATTTTTTTTAATTTATAAAGTCTTTGGGAGGCATGACTAATATAAAAAGGCAAAGTAATTGCTTAAAGTAGTCGTGTCTCTCATCTACAAGTAAAGTTGTGTTTTGAAAAATTGACCTTCATTAATAAGAGAGTGATTGACAGAAAAATGTACCGAAACGAATCACCATCGAGACTAGGAGCTTTAAATAACATTTTATCTAATCCTTCAACTTTTATTAAGTGAATTTATGGAAACCGTACCATTTTCTGACAATAAGGGAATTATATGGATTTTTTGTCATTTTTCCATGCTCCAGTTTTTGTCGAGTTTGACCTTGTAGTGAGTTAGAGCGTGTGCACAACGAATTTTCAATTGCCAGGTGTACATTCAAACAGTCAATGGAAGATCCTCAAAACTGCATAAGTTTTTCATGTTTGAAATTCATTTTTCAGGTGTCATAAGTACCGTAGCTGAAGCTGTAAGTGGTCTTTTTTAGCAACTTCTATGAAAAAAGTGTTTCTGCTGTTTGTTTTTTAAATAAAAAGCCATTTTTTTAAAACTTAGACAATTGATTAAATCAAAATTCAGACAACATATTCGGAAAGCCCATAATATACAATTCACTGCATCTCCATCTCATTTTTCGAACGGTGAAAACTGCAGCTCTTTATCTTGTTTCTATGAAAACTTATTCGAAAAATACTCACTCGGCCTTTTTATTTCAAATAGCATTAGTACAACCGTTAAATTTTATAGAAAAACAATTTCTATCGTAATTTTATTCTTACGATATTAGATCAATAGTGATTAAATAGCACAGAAACATACAGCGTCGTTTTCTCTACTACTACATAAAAAAAGAAAATTTCTTCAAGTTTTCTTTATGGAAAACAGATATTGACGACACTACTTTTGGTAGGCTCTTAGTAGGAACCTGCGGTGTCAGGTTTTTTTATTCCGAAACTCGACTCCGACTCCTACTCCGATCCCGAGAATTTTTATTTTCTGACTTCGATTCCAACTTCGACAAACTCCGAAATTTTTTTATCCAAAACAGGTGACCTCAAATATGTTTTATTGTTTAATTTAGAACACGCAAAAGTCAATAATAGGGCTGCTACATTAATACAGTGAAGTCTCTATAAAGTGAACACGATCGGAACTGTTCAAAACGTTCGCAATAAGGAGGTGCTCACTTTCGAGAGGTCCATTTTCAACAAAAATTGATCTTTTGGGCTGGTTAAAAACGCTCATAATAATGAGGCTTTCACTATAGAGAGAGGTGCTCACTAGTAGAGGTTTTACTGTATTACGTTTTATCATTATTACTGGGTAATTGATAATCATTTTTATTAGTTTATTAGTGGTAATAAACTAATAATAATATTGCTTCTATGAATTACTAATTTTAATATTATATCACTTAATAACATTTTTACTTTGTTACTTTTATTACTTTTGCAAATTATGTCTAGTTACCGACAATAAGTAATAATCTTATAGGCTATTACATTATTACCAGTAATAGTTATGTAGTGAAGGAAAGTCAAAGAATCATTAAGAGATTAATTTTGAATTTGTTTTTCATTTGTTGTGCAGCGAAAATAAAAGAAAACAATTACTGAGAAATTTTCAACACGTGCTATGCCCAAGGAATCGAGAATTGATGATGAAGAGAATTGTAATACTTCCGATGAAATTGAAATATGTTTTCATTCATGGCATTATGTTGTTATGTAGCCGATTTTCGAATGATATAGACAAAAGATGATCCATATGGGTTTTTGTCCTGAAACTCGTTCTAAATATATGTAGCAAATCTTATCTTTCATTTTTTTGTTTGTTAAGGGTGTGGGTGGGTGTTAGGTGTTGATGGGCTGGATCTAGTTTTCATCCAAAACCACACACCCACACCTCACACCCCACACTCACACCCTACTCTAAAGCCCTGAAAGATGCAGCGAGTCATGTTTGTATTTCAACGTGAAAACTCGTAATACTTCGAAAACGGAAGAAAATTGAGCTCTCTCTACCCCAGCAAATATGAAAGAAAGTAGTAAATCAACAAGAACAAATGGTCAGAAAACGAAATGTGATTGCGTTATCGCAATATGTATAGTATTCATTTCCAACAATACAACAGACTTCGAAACTATTTTTTCATATGAAGAGTCCTAGCTATCCTCTATACATTACACTATAGCCAGTGTATTTACAATTTAAGTATTCGCAGAAATTTTACAAGTTCCCATGTCACCCAAATGACGAAGGGTTTTTTTGTGAGTACGTTGCCGGCATGTATTTTTAGTTTAAAAGATGAGCCACAGAATCAATTTGAATGAAATTCACCAATGTTAAAGTGTTTTATAATATACACATGTAATCTAAATTTTAAGGCCATACTCTTTGTTGAAATCAAGAAAAGTGGATTGAAAATTGACAAAACGTGAGTACGTTACCTGCGGACAAGTCGTATACAGGAAACCTAAGTCAGATCAGCTAGACACTGCCCAAAATTTTCTTCGCCTTCAACGACTAATCTAAGATGCCTATCAAACATTTTTAACACACTAAACAATGTCACAATGCAATTCCGTTTACTTTTTTGTGAAGTTTTCAGTAAAGCAGGTCAAAACCTTCTCCTTTCAACTAAACCTCATCTAGTTGGTCGGGAATTCGACCGGGCCTGGATATGGATCTGAAAATTTTCTGTTCATCGGGTCCGAGCTCTAGTTATGAGTAAGAGCCAGTAATAATTTGATTATTATAAGGTCATCGTCAAGATTGTTTAAGGCATGTTAGTATGTGCTAGTCAAAGAAAAATAAATCGAAAAAAGATGTGGCATGTTCGGTCTAATTATCAGATTTGAATGATAAAATTTCTTTAAGTATGAAGACTACGGATCCAAAAATTTTGGATCGATGGATTCTATTCGAAAGTCAATGTTCAATGAAGACGAATATTCGCATGTTTCTTTGAATACAATTTTTTTGACATAGGTTGCAAATTCTTTTCTAACTTGCACGAGTATTGTACATTACAAAATGTGAGTTCGAAATATGAAGCATTAGCTTTGTTTTATTTAAATGCCATAGAATAAAAAAGTTGCCCTCTTCCCATTTTTAACTTTTTTGGTGAGGATCTTATAAAAAATGTTGAGCCTACCCTAAATTCAGAACCTTTCGCCGCTTATGGTCTTGCTGACATAGACAAGAATCTTGTCTGGAGAAACAACTCTTGCCTCATCAGTCAAGATTTGATCTACATAAATCTTGCCAGAAAATCAAGATTTGTGGTTTTAAGCAAGAAATTTTAGTATTTTTCTTCTTCGACGGTCAACAGATTGATGAGTATAAAAAGGGCCGAGTATTCATTGAATAATTCATACAAATCTATCACTTTTAAATATCATTCGAGGATTATTAAAAGACAAAAATGGGTGTCAGTGTGGGTGGATGTGAGTGTGTTCGTGGGTAAGGTCTGGATGTGGGTGTTGAGTCTTGATCGAACCCACACCCATACCCATCCATACCCTACGTGTAGTTTTCAGATTTTTTAGTTGAAAATATTACCAAAAGAGTGAATGGCATAAGGTTGGAACTTGAATAGGATTAGATGAAAAATCTATTTAAGGTTTGGAATAAAATTTTCGAAACTTGCTCATTAATACTCTTCGAATGGAAAAGTTTTAAGTTCAATAAATTCTATTTGTTGAATTCGTATGAACAGTGTTTAGAATCTATGAACAAAACGTCTTTTTTTAATTGTCTAAGCTATTCATCGAAAGCGAAAATTTATCTGAAAAATATCCGACGAAGGACCTTTCCTGACTAACGAGAGCTCGTTTCGAAATATCGATTTTTTTTATTTGAAATTATATGCATGATGCAGGTTCTAATGGGGTATGAATACACTAAAAACAGCTCGAGCTAATTACTGTCACGATACTTGATTTTCCATCAGAATGCCGTAATCCCCTCACAAACTTTCAGAAAAACTGATTTTCGAAGTCTGACTTGAAGCTTCGCACGGAGGCAGATATTGATGAGAATAGCTTATTGTAAAAGCTTCAGATCGTTCAATTACTTCTATCCTAAAATACGGTTATGGTAAATATATGTTTTTCACATCGTTAGTTTTTCTGAGAGCGATCAAAACATTCTAATAGAGCATACAGTAACTCGGCAGTAATCAGCAATTAAATCGGACTCTCTTCAGAATATTCATAGTTCATTAGAATCTACATAATGCACATCAGAGGCAGAACCATTTCTAAAACAAAGATACGAATCTATTCCATCTCTGACAAACGTAGTCCCAACTGAAAACTGATTTGATATTTAGAAATATTCCTTCGTACAAACATTTCAGCACTTTATTAAATTTTTCCTAAGTATCCAAAATTTATACTAAATTCTATTAAGTCATCCAGAACGAACTCTTTCTCTCGTTAAAATCTTGTTTTTTTTATTAAAGAATGTTCGTAATGCGTTAATTCAATCAACAGATATATCATTAGCATTTGATAAAACATTACATTTTATTCGTACAGAATGTAAAGTAATGCTTTATGTTGTTGAACATATAAATCGTGAATGTGGTAGTCATTTTGATTTTGTTGTTAATTCAATATTTCCTGAATTAATACAATGTCTTGAACAATCATTTAATATATTATTTTTTCATACGATGCGTTCTGAGAGTTTTCTCGGAAACTCCATTAAATGCTAACGTACGAGATATAGAGATGCATAAATATAGAAGATATTGGAGATATTGATTAACTGGTACAGCTAATCATTCAATACTGTTTGAATTTAAATATCTATTCATAAAATATATTGGCGCCACTTGCCAACACTTGCTCGAAAAAATCAATTCCTATATCTCCTATATCTCATACGCTAGTACAAGATGGAGTTTCCGAGGAAATTCTCCGAACGCATGTAATTTTAATAAACAGAAAAATAACATATCATATTTGTCTACTGTTAATACATTCGAGGCGGCATCCTCTTATTAGGAATAATTGACATAGGAAACATTTCTTTTAATAGATAAATATGGTGCAGACGCAGAAATTATTATGCACAATGTCTATCTATTATTTCAAATTAAGCAGAGATCAGAAAAATTTGCAAAAATAGCAGTTAATATTAATACTACACTATAAAATCTTCAAAATTTTACTTCGCCATAATTATCATATTTGCATCAAAAGGCATTTCTAAGCGCAGTTAAAACAACAGTGATTTTGCATTGCTATTCAGCAATAGTATGATAACAAATCTGCTTGTTTCAACTCATACAGGCTACATGTCGTATATGAATTTCTAGAATAGCCTACAAACTACCAAAACAGTGCTAAACCCCTCCCCGTATTAGAAGACCCTCCCATATTAGTAGACTTCCCTATAATAGAAGACCCCCCTGGACAAAAAGTTCATCGGGCGTATTAGAAGACCTCCCTTTAATTAATTAATTAT